AAAATAATCCGTATAAACTACGTTATAAACAAAAAATTGTAGGATTACTTACCGAGTGTGTACCCTTTGACTACGCTCGTTGCTAAAGCTTGGTTTCGTCGCGGAACAGCGCATCAAATTGCGGCCGCGATTTCTGATATTATTTTTCTGCGAAAACTTCGTTGACCTTTGGAGACATCCTTAATATAAATAATTTTTATGGCCGTTAAATAAGAAATGTTTCTTTCACAAGAAATGTATAAAATTACAGTACTGGACAGACGATAGGTCGCCTAACTCGCCGTAGCGTGACGCTAGACGGCAAAAAGTATATATATAATTATAATAAAGTTACAATAAATTAAGTTAATATATAATTATATATACAGTACCTAATTTATATATAATTATATGTACAGACGATAGTAAACTCAATTTACACTCCTAAACTGTCCGTAGCGAGGCGCTGGACGGGGGAAAGTAGTTCGGCTGCCCGATGACGTTTTACGTAATTATAGGAGGTTTTACGCGGTATCCGTTGTTTACGGATACCGCCACAATTTTTTCGCCGTCTTATAGGAATTGTAATTATAGGAACCCGTCTTATAGTAAGATCTACTGTATATATTATTTTGTAAAGTCATCAACGAAGAAATAAGTGTAAAATTTAAATGAATTATTTTAGAGTAGCCTATAGATAAATGACGTTTTAGTCTGCTGCCTACATACTTATTAAAACTATTTAATAGTTCTTGATACTATATTAGTTTAAAACTATTGGTATATCGCAAATAGCCAAGAAACAGTTGTACGTGAATTGCCGATTTGGGGATGAGATTCGAAATTCCTCATCATGGTGTCAATTTTCTGTTGTACATTCTTATCAGAATAATCGACTGTTTGGTTAATAATTATATGAATAGGAAAAGCATATTCACCGAAATATTTATACATGATTCGGGTGCTTTCTGAAATGGTAGAAACATTTGGATAAAGTTTATGCCAATCGAGTCCTTGTCTAATCGATAGTGTTCCCCATACGCTTACACCCAAATTAATAAAGTAGACAACTACAATGACAATTTTTACAAGTGAATAAGAGAAAAGTTTTCCTAAATGCTTTCTGAATATCTTCATGAAGAATTCTTCGTCTTGTTGATGTTTTAGTTGAGAAGCGAATGTTTTAGAATCTAAAAATAAAATAAAATTTGAATAAATAAAGTTACTATAACCTTTCATGACTGAATTAAAATAAAAATAATGAACAAATTAAAGGATATATACTAATATTTATGATAATTTTCATGTCTCAAAGCGCTTTCGTAAGCAGTTTTTGGATTTCCTTGAAAAGAACATTATATTTACTTCCACAAACACTATTCACTTTCATGAAAAGTATGTCACCACACATTGCATGGATGAAATATAAACGAATTTCATTTATACGTTTGTACCTACTCAGAAAATTACTCATATAAAAAAATTTCCCAAACAAGAAAATACGCACAAAGAACAATTCCCATACTAATAGTATTATATTTTTTTAATACCAAAATGAATAAATAATATTAAGTATCAGAAGAATATTAATACATGTACTTTTGTAAAGCAGTGTATGAGATATAGTCAATACTTAAGTTAATTTAAATTAAATAACTTTTTCATTTATTTACTTTAAAATCTTACTACAAACTTATATTAAATTTAAAATTTAATCTCGTATTTAAAAAGGAAATTGAAAGTGATTTTGCTCCAAACAAAAACATAATTCAAAATACAGTACTTCAATTATTTCAGTCATGATATATAAGACCTATTTTAAGAAAAATTAAATTTTATAGTTAAAATGTGCGGTACATAGTTGAATGTCGTACTAAAATTTCCATAAACTCACAGCATCTTACAACTCATACAAATGGTAGGTATAACGGATACCTGATATTTATGTTTACATAAAATGAGTGTACCTTGAGCTTACAAATAAGTAATGGAAAAAGTATAAAGAAACGGAAGAAAAAGAAATAATCTTTTTATTTTTTGTTATTGTTTCTCTGTCTGAATAAGGTTTGTTCATACAGTGTTCACTTTTATTACGTTTACTTGCTTTTCAGGCATTTATAATAATGCAACAGCGTTATTGCTTTCTTTATCAATAGAAAATTACAAAATCATTTAACTCTGCCTCAAAACAACTACGGAAACAGTTGCGTATATGAATGTGTAGTGTAATTGTTTGAAATATCATAAAATATTACTAGTAATTTAGAATATAGTTAAGACCAGAAATGTTGAAAAATAAGGAAAATAACATTTTCATGATCTGTTGATTGGTGACAACATTGAACGTTTTTGCCGTAAGCTTACCCTACCCTATTTTGTTCTACTCTATCTGCCTTTTTTTCTTCAGACGTGGATGAATTCTGTGAAGTTGTAATGTTAATATATATTCGTTTTGACTTTAAATAAAAGTTTTTGTTAACTAGAAAAGTATGTGTTAGAGGTTCTGACATCAAGTTTCAACACAGAATATTGGTAATATTAGTGAATATTTTTTTCCATTTTAAAGATTAACGGGAGTTCACACAAGTCGAGATAAAGAAATGCCAATGTAATCTATTATAAAAATATCATTATCGCAAAAATTCAAAAGTTGCCAAGTTTCTATTAAAAATATTAAATTTTTACTTTTCCTGATTAAATCTTTCTGATCATTTGAAAACAACATATATATATATACAGTCAATCCCCCTATAAGACGGTAGATACGTTCCGTTCTTTATGAATCAATTTTGTAGAAATCACAGCCAGTTACAGCCCGACACGTGTGAAATTTACGGACTACGTCTATTTGAAAGGTTTTCTTTCATAAAATTAATCGATTCTAGACTAATTCGACTCAACATTTCTAAAATACGTATATTTTTTTGGAAATAATCCGTATAAACTACGCTATAAACAAAAAATTGTAGGATTACTTACCGAGTGTGTACCATTCGACATCGCCGTTGCTCAAGCTTGTTTTCGTCGCGGAACATCGCAGCAAACCGCGGCCGCGATTTCTGATGTTATTTTTCTGCGAAAACTTCGTTGAACTTTGGAAACATCATTAATAGAAATAATTTTAATCGTCGCTGAATAAGAAATGTTTCTTTCACAAGAAATGTATAAAATTACAGTACTGTATTAGACTTACGGTACCTAATTTACATACTGTACAGACG